GAGTATCTGTAAAAAATAGTGAACAATTAGATCAGACATTTATACATTGTTTAAAGCCCTAAAAAATGAAAGAATTAGACCCATATGTTTTTGATTCAGTCTTATCCATGTCAACTCCAACTGTACCCCAAAATTCCCAACATAATATTATTAAGGGTAAAAAAAAAGGCATATATTTGTACATTTTAAACTCACACACAATGTATAAAACCATGAAAATTTAGAAATACAATAAATAGAAAAAAATTAAGATTGCCTTATTAAATGATTTTCAGACAGACCTACTCTCAGAGTTCTGTTAATTGGGCACTGGACATCTACTTTCAGGCTAACTATCTAATAAACCAGGTATAAAAACAGGGGTGTGTCAACAAAGACCGTAACCAGATAACTGCCCTACGACTTAGTTATGAAAAGCAGATTACGAACTTCTTATTAATCTCTGACCGTCTATCTCTGCTCACTTCGAAAACACAACTCAAGTCCTAATAAGGAAATTTAAAATGCATAAAAAGCACAAAGGCAAAAAGAACGTAAAAGGAGTCCACAACAAAGTAGAGATAACAACAAAATTTGGGGAGATGACAGGACATAGGGATAATCAATTTAGCACAGCAAAGAAAGCTGCCAACTTCCTTAAGTCAATAAACTGCAAGGTATTTTGAGCAGTAAAATCTCCCAAAAGTTCAAGAAATACTACCTCTGAAGGCCTGATCATGGGTATGACTGAAAATAGGAGAACTGGTTGAACACCTGTATAATGACTAGTTAAGAACTCTGGATCTTCCCTCACCACAAAGGCAAAATTTATTTTATGAAGAAAACTAACCTGAAGACTCTGGACAATAGGAATGGCTATGGGCAGGAGTGAAATCCTACATCCATGAAAACAAGGAAGATTAAGTAAAACATACATAACAAAATGTGAGTTCTCCCATCCTTGTTCCCACACTTAAATCATGGCTAGATAATTTACCATACACATTAGGACCAAAATTTTAAAATTCCTCTTTAAGGAAGCAAACTTACACAAGAGAAAGAATCCAAAGATATAGACTACTCACGTATACACACTCTAACCAGGTTAACTATGAGAAGTGGGCCAAGAATCAGATATTTGAAGAACAAAAGAAAAAACAGGAAAAAAAAAGAAAAGGAACATAAGCACAGGTAACTAATGTGGAAAGCACAAAAATTCTTAAAAACAAACAAACAAACAAAAAACCTTGAAGCCAGTAGGTGGCACAGAGGGTAAGGCAGCTGAATCCCACATGGTTGACTAAGCAGTTCGAGTCTTGGACCCAGTGTCTTGAAAATCACACCAGGCATGTGTGTAAGTGTGCCCAAAATCCCAAGAGGAGAATGGAGAAGAGATTACAGCATAGCCATCCCCTTTAGGGGGTGATTTCTCACTTTCTCTGTCTCCATCTCTGGTTGAGCACGTGTGTCCCATAGTGAAACTATTAAAAATATATATATCCTGAACATCCTCTGAGACTAAAATAACACACCCAAGAGAAGAAAACATCTAAAAAAAGGCCAGACCTTAGTCCAGTGGTTAAGAAAACCAGATGATTGACCACAGTTCAAATCCCAGCCATTGAGGTTTGAAAAAAAAAACACTGAGTTGCATGACCAAAATCCTGACAGATGGCGAGAAATGGAGAAGGGCCTGTGCGTGACCATGACCCATTGGGTGATGCTTCCTTGACCCCCCACCATCTCTGTCTCTCTCTGGCAAACACATACACACTGGCCAAAAAATAAAAAAAATCTTGAAAAACTTCAGAAAATAGGAAAGAACTCTTACATATTAAAACTACTATAGCAAAAATAAAGAATTCAAGACACAGGGTAGAAATAAGGTTGAAGAAATCTTTCAGAAAGTATAAATATGGAAAATAGAAGGAAAGATTAAGAAAAATGGAGAATTAGGCTAGGAAGCCCAATTGTCAACTAATACAAGTTTTGGGAAAAAAAAATCAAAAATACAAAAAAGTAATAGAAGTTACCAAAAAGAGAAACATTCTTAAACTGAAACCTGAGTTTCCAGATTCAATTTTAAAAGACATGACAAGGCATATCACTATGAAATTTCAGAACATTGGAAAGAAAGAAAATTCTAAAAGCTTCCAGAGAAGAAAATCAGGCCACAAAAAATTAGAAGTCAGATATGGGATGGAACTCTTCAACTCACCTGCTGTGAGACACAGAGAAAGTGATTTACCCTCTCTAAACTTCAATTTCCCCCTCTGAAAGTTACAGATAATTAGCAGTCTACCTTACATAGTTATGAAGAAATGCATACAAAGCTTTAACAGTACCTCCTGGTCCTCTGTTGGTAGGTTGCCAAAGTAAGTTTTACTATTCCTATGACATTATCTCAATATAAGGATTCCTCTTCCATCACTTCATGTAGCAAAGACCTTTGGATAAAACAGAATTCTGCAATTCCCTTGGTTTGCTCCCACTTCTCAATGGTTGGCTTTGTCAAAACCATCTGATTCCCCAAATGCAAGTAAGATTAAAAAAAAAAAAAAATCACAGAAAAAGATGAACCTACTTGTTTACTAATCCCATTAGTTTCAAGTCACTGCTGGAAGGGAGGAAGGGATACAAAAGGAAAATGACAAGAAGTATGAAATAGATACACATATGATGAAAAGTATGAGTATATTTCAGAGTAGATTCGTTTTAAAATTTCAAAACTGTAATGAAATGAAAAGCAAGCACTTCTCCATTAGCAACCTTTTAATGTAAAACATAGCATTCTGTTAGATACTTAAGCCAAAAGAGGACTTATACTTTACAAAATAAGAAAAAAAAGCTTCCTACCTCCTTATCTTTATGGTAGTAAGAAAGAACTGGGAATCTTCCCTTGCTCCGGAACTTGGAACTACCAACAATGATTGGTTTGCTTGCTATCTGGGGAACATAAAGTTCTCTGGGATAAGTTTCACAAATCTGTAAATACCAAATAAAAGGTAATTATTCTACTCAGTTCAAAATTCTTGACATTGAAAACCAGCTTTACAAATCTTCAAAACTTAATAAATGACAGTACGTTACAATACAGAGACAGCTTGTTACCATGACCTCCCTCTCTAATCTTCTAGTACTAACATTTTCTGAATTTCTCTAAAAGGTTGCTAAGTTACCTTGTATTCTCGGTTGGCATCAGACAGCTGCCAATTGGAGTTTGGCACTCCCATCCTCTTATATTCCTCAGCAAGATTGATTAGCTGCCAACCTTGTAGTCGTTCAGCCTCATTTTGTTTGGGATTATAAGAGAATGCATAGAGATCTTCATATTTTGCTATAGAATACAAAATCCAAAAATGTTAAAATGCAATTTAAAAGACTTAACACACTACAAATAAATTCTAGTTTTCTCCTCCGTTTTTTCTTTAAAAATGTTCCAAGAGATGGCTAATACCTGAACATTCTTGACCTTAATATTTTCTAAGTTATTTGATACAAATAATTATGCCCAGGGACCAGCAGTTAGAGTAATGGCTATGTCGCTGGACTCTCATGTAGTCGATCGGGGTTCGAATCCTGCACCCAGTGGCTTAAAACTCACGCCAGGCACGTGTGCATGTGTGCCCAAGATCCCGAGAGGAGAATGGAGGAGAAGGGATTGTGGCGTGGCCATCCCCCTGGGGGGTGATTTTTCGCTTTCTGAGTGTCTCTCTGTCTGTCTGGCGAGTGCACACGCCCTATAGCAAATACCTCTCAAAAAAAAAAAATTATGTCAAGAGGCACACACATCAATCTGAGATTTGATTTATATTATCGGCAATATTTAAACTAGTAAATAATATAGACTTACATGTTAAATTCTCTACAGCAATAATGCTTTTCCTAAAAATTAAGTTTTTAAAAATACAAGTAGATACTTCCTACTCACTACTCTTCTCAAATGAGATGTAAAATGGAAAGACTAATGCTGTAATGAAAAACTAGAGATGGCATAGAGAACATGAAATTGCATTACACATTACTATTGGAAGGAACGTGGTAACTGAAAATGGTAATGGCTGCACAGAGTTCAGGAGAGCACACACTTCTGCACAATAAGCCCTGACGTCACAGGCTCTTAACTGGGGACAGTGGGATATTTCAGGCTTTATGTGTTGGGAACAAACAGTGAACACAGAGCTGCTTTTAGATCACCCAATCAGACTGCAATCCAGAATGCTCAATGAAATCCAGATCAATATGTAACTCAAATCATGTTTGAAAAAGAACCTTCCAAATTCCCACAGCACAAGTAGTGATAAGATTCCTCTTTGGGGTCTACATTTCTTTCAATCTTATCTCTACTAAAACAGTCCTTTGCCTCACTTTCCATATGTTCCAACCTGACCTATTAATCAGTTCCGCTACTGCCAGAGGACCTTAATCTTCCTTTTCATTTAGTGATACCAATTTCCAAGTCATTCTCCTTGTTTGTGGAATACTTACTATAAAAAAAAAAATAATGTTATCCTTTGACTTGCTATCAACAGCCTTTAAAGACATTAATATTAATCTATGGTTTCTAAAGTCTATACTCCAAATACTTTATTTTTCTTATCATTATCCCTTCTTTGGACACTATTCTTACAATTCTTATCAGTAGTTTCTAATTATTTCTAGGCCAATGTTTTTGTTTGTTTGTTTGTTTTTGTTTTGTTTTGTTTTGTTTTGAGAGGTTTTCGCTATAGGGCACGTGCACTCACCAGACAGACAGAGAAAGACAGAGAGACAGAAAGTGAGAAATCACCCCCCCAGGGCGGATGGTCACACCACAATCCCTTCTCCTCCATTCTCCTCTCGGGATCTTGGGCACACACACACACGCGCCCGGTGTGAGTTTTAAGTCACAGGACGCAAACCGCGATCAACTACATGGAAGTCCAGCGACATAGCCATTACGCTAACTGCTGGTCCCTAGGCCAATGTTTTTGAAGTAGAGTGAATAAGATTACTCTGACTATCAGAGTAACTTAAAGTATAAAATAATAGTAATGAGACATTCAATAATGATCTTGGATAACTCATCTCAAATTGATCATGTAAGCTTTGATCTTTACTAACAATACCTTGTTTTGACAATTGTAGCAAAGAGTTGTAAATATCATGGCAATCTCTTTCTCGAGGAACAACAAAATGCACAATTCTGAAGTTCTTGCACTGAATCACAAGTGGGCATCCAGAAGTAGTCAAAGCAAGTTTCTCCACTGAGGCAATATGGTGGTGTAATATCTACAGCATGAAAAATATGCAAGTTATCAACATAGAAAGTACTAAATATTCCCTTCCTCACTACATAAATGTTAGGAAGGCACACCTTATATAAAGTCTCAAATGTTATATATTATACACTCAAACTTGAAATTCTTAAATGACGAATGACCAAGCCAGGAATATCGGTGTCACTGCAATATTTCCTTTTTCGTCCTACATACTCACTACACCAACGAACCCTGAGAATTGATCTCCTAAATACCTCTTTAACCTGTTATTTCTCTCCACTGCTACTGTCATTTCATGATTTGCCATGTCCCCACTGTTTCCCACCTGAATTACTATAAAAAGCCTCCTAAATGCCCTCTCCATATCCACTCTCTACCTTGCTAATTCATTTTTCTACAAGATAGGTAAGTGAACAGTAAACAACAATCTGAAAGGAAAAATAAAGGCAATTTGGTCATATCCCACTTGTCTAGCCTCCTTTTAAGTCCCTTCTCCCATCAGTGACTGTGTTTCAGTAACAATAACTTTTGTTTCAAATGCACCAAGCTCCTTTACATATGCTGAATTGCTCCCACTGACTGGGATATTGTAGTTCTACTTCTTTTACTAGGAACTTCTAGTCTTATTTCCAGCCTTTGCTTAAAACTCATAATATCATTTTTAAAAAGTGTGTTGTGTGTATATATATATATATATATATATATATATATATATATTCCTAACATCCCACGGAAAACTTTCCAAGTAAGTTAAGTCTCCTACATTTTCTTATTGTCTATCAACCTATACCTTCCCCCGCAGCAGCTACTACACTGAGTAATCCATTGTGTGATTAATGTCTTTTCTCCAGCTAGATTGTGAGTGTTTCATAAGGAACTAGACTATAGTTTTAGTTGGTCAACATTATACCTTCAGGGCCTAAAATAATATCTGGGTCATTATAAGCACCCTCCTCAAACCAAAAAACTTGCAAATGTTGCATAGTACACACTCCAACTTAAAATGTTAAGATGACTGAATGTCTAACCCAGAAATATGTGGTTAAAAAAGCCTGTCTTTTCTCAGTACCATCCCTATTAACTTAAATATTTATAGAAAGCTTTTCTGGAGAACAAAGGACCTTATTTTCCTGAATGATAAAACTCAAATCACAGTAAGAGAGCAATTTATCCCAAATTAACTTAAAAATTTAACACAAATTTCCAGCAAAAACTCCAAACTGTTTTTTGGAGTTTTTTGTGTGTCAGGATGAGATATGGATGGTTATTTAGATAATACATACATATTATAATTAGGTATGTTAATATTAAATATATGTTAAATTGAAAGTTTACATTCAAGATTAAATACACAAATAATCAAGAAAAGCTTTAAAAAGACGAGTAGTAAAAGAAGAATTTGTCCTATGGAAATTAAAACTACATAGGAGTACCGTGCAGATAACACACACACATAAGCCATACTTATGGCTGAGATTTAGCACCATTACTCGAAGTAATCTAAATAACATCTAAATATACAACGAAGGAAAATAAGTTAACTTTAATATTATATCGCTATTCAGACTCAAAATTATTTGCAGAAGGATGATGAAGAGGCCCACATCTACCACTAACCAGTCATATGATATTGAAAAAATGATCATCTGTAAAATGAAGAAAAGGATAAAGGTAGGTAAGGCACCTTCCATGAATCTAGAATATTAAACAAAATTCATTCAGGATAGACATATGAGAATATACTGATAAAAAATAATTTTAAAGACAACAATAGGAGAGAAGAGAATGACACAGAATATCTGTGCTGCCCCCAAACTATATTCCTAACACCTGAGGGAATAGCGATACAGAAAACCTCCATTTGTGTCTCTAGGAGATGGGTAACACACTAAGGCAGGTGGACAAAGAGAGAGTAGATGAAGGGGATGATAATACCATGTGGTCAATGATTTTTTTAAAGAGGTTTTTGTTATAGGGCACGTGTGCTCACCAGAAAGACAGAGAGAGACAAAAAGCAAAATATCACCCCCAAGGGAGAATAGTCCCTTCTCCTCCATTCTCCTCTCAAGGATCTTCGACACAGACGCACATGCGTCCAGCATGAGTTTAAGCCACTGGGTCTGGGATTTGAATCATGGTCGACTACATGGGAATCCAGAGATGTAGCCATTATGCCAACTGCTGGTCCCGTGGTTAATTTTATAAGGCACTCCTAGGTGAAACTCTTGGCACTTCTTGGGTAGGAAAAGGACCCAGCGCCTCTGGGGAACACAGCTTCTCCAATATCAACATATTGGGCAAGTCCTTAACCTGCAATCCTATATAACTGGATGGCCTCCCTAGGAAAACGTGACACCTTGAAATGGGAAGCAGAACTGATCTTTAATTTTTTTATGACTCAAAAAAATAGTAAGACATCAGAGTAGGCAAAGACTTCTTTTTTTTTTGGAGAGGTTTTTTTTGCTATAGGACGCATGCGCTCGCCAGACAGACGGAGAGAGACATAGAGACAGAAAGCGAGAAATCACCCCCCCAGAGGGGATGGTCACGCCACAATCCTTTCTCCTCCATTCTCCTCTCAGGATCTTGGGCACGCACGCACACGTGCCCGGCGTGAGTTTTAAGCCACCGGGTCCGGGACGCAAACTGCGGTCGACTACGTGGGAGTCCAGCGACATAGCCATTATGCTATCTGCTAGTTCCCAAGGCAAAGACTTCTTAAGTAGAACTCCCAAAGCACAGGCAATAATTCCAAAAATAGACAAGTGGGATTATATCAGGTTAAAAAGCTTCTTCACAACAAAAGAAACAATAGTTAGAATGAAGAGACGACCCTTGGAATGGGAAAATATATTTGTAAACCCTTCCTTGGGTAAGAGACCGATAACCAAAACACACAGGGAACTCAAGCAGCTTACCTGCAAAATAAGAATCAATCCAATTAAAAGATGGGCAAATGAGCTAAACAGACAGCTCCCAAGGAAGACATACAAACAGCCGAAAAGCATATGAAAAAAATCCTCAACATCTCATAGGGGAGATGCAAATCAAAACCACAATGAGATATCGCCTAACCCCACTCAAAATGGCTAAGATTAAAAATATAAATAAGTGCTGGTGAGGCTGTGGAGAAATAGAACTCTCTTATACCACTGGTAGGAATGTAAATTAGTACAGCCACTGTGAAGAACAATATGGAGATTCCTCAAAAATCTACAAATACAAATATCCTATGATCGACCCAGCAATTCCACTCCTGGGTATCTACCCAAAGGACAGGAATAAATTCAGTCAGAAAAACACTTGCACCTTCATGTTTATTGTTGCAACATTTACAATTGCTAAGATACGGAACCAACCCAAATAAACACAAACAAATGGATTGTAAAACTGTGGCCCATATACTCTACAAAACAGTACTCAGCCATAAAATATAATGAGTTCCTAGCATTGATAGAAAATGGACAAATATGGAAGACTTACTCTTAAGTGAAGCAAAACAGGCTATGAAAGAGAGGCACTGTATGTTCATACTTATATATACCAAATGTCTGCACTCTATGTCAGAAACTGAAATATTGGACAATATAAAGGCATGGAACGCAACTGTGGATACCAGAGACAGTGTGGGAGGGGGATGGGAAGCGGCAGAGGGTGAGAGGGAGGGAATCAAGAAGAAAAAGAAAGAAGTAAAACAGTTAAGAAACGCAAATAAAAAGTTATCAGTTGAAGATAAAAGGTATGGTAGTATCTTTGATTGGGCCCATATTCAGTGTATTCTGGATGGGAAAACTCTTTGTATGCTATAATGGTATACAGTGAACAAATGTAATATTTAAAAAATTAAAATAGTGGGACTAGCAGTTGGCATAATGGCTACGTCACTGGACTCTCATGTAGTCAGCCGCAGTTCAAATCCTGGACCTGGTGGCTTAAACTCACGCTGGGTGTGTGTGTGTGCGTGCCCAAGATTCTGAAAAGAGAATGGAGGAAAAGGGATTGTGGCGTGGCCATCTCTCACTTTCTGTCTCTCTGTCTCTCTCTGTTTTTCTGGCGAATGCACGTGCCCTATAGCAAAAACCTCTCCAAAAAAAATAAAAATAAAAATTACTGAGTCACAACTATGTTGTAAGCACAGACACTTTTCCTATTTCATTTAAGAGCTATAAAAGGCCCTATATGATGACTGACACTAAGTTCATTTTATGTAACTGCTAACTTTGAAATTTACACACTTTTTGGTAGACTCTGTTGCTGTCATTTCTCCTCACCTTCCTTATTTGCAATACCCATCTCCCTCAAGAAATAAAAAATGCCAGGAGGCTACATTTTCTACCTCCCATGCAGGCAGGAGTAGCCAAGCATATCAATTTCCAAACAATCATATTTAGGGGATGTCAGGAGGGACCATCTGGGAAAGATCCTTGTCCCTGATAAAACAACAGGAGGTTAGTGAAGAGAGCCTACCCACCTGCTTTGGGAGGCTTGGTGCCCTTTTCGTAAGGTTTTTACTTACAGTTGAAAGCACCTGATACAATTACCTAACCAGCAAGCAGGAACTGGCATTTGAACTCAAAGCATAACCTAAGTTCCCTTTATTTCTGTGTATTGACTGTATGACACTGAGCAAGTCACCACTTCCCTGAGCTTCAACTTCCTCATTTATAAAACAGAGATTATAAACCTGGTACAGCCAGTGGCACAGAAGTCAGCCCAGGCTCCTCCTTTGCAGGCAAATGACACAAGCTCCACATTCTATCTCCCTTACTTACTTATTCTTCTTTTTAACACTTATCATCATTATATATATTACTTATTTGTCCTATTTATTCTGTCTCTCTCCTCTAGAATGTGGGGTCCATGAAAGCAGAATTTTTATGTTTTTATTGGCTATTGTTTCCAAGATACCTCTAGTGATACGAAACACAAACTAGGTACTGAATAAATGTGTGCTAAATAAATGTGTAAATAAATGAGTGAATTCTAAAACTTAAAGGGAGAAAACAAAGGGCCCCAAACAGTCATGACAGTTTTGGAGAACAAGTAGAAAGACTTGCTCTACTAGATATCAAAACTTATTAAGAAGCTATATTTTATAGAGTAGTATGATATTTGTATAGTGTAGTTAATATACCAAAAGAATAGAATCGACGGCTCAAAGCTTGGAAGCTTTATTTATGACAGAGCTGGTACTAAATATCAGTGGAATGAAACTGTCAATAAATGGTGCCACTTGTCCATATGAGAAAAATAAAACTGAATCTATGTCACACTATACACCAAGCTATATCCTAAATGTATTAACGATTTATATTTGGAGGATAAAACTTAACCTTTTAGGCCTCGTCACGGTGGTTCAAATGGGGAGGATGCCTCTGTGCCATAGCTGAGTCTGCATGGGGGAACTAGGTTTAGTCTAAACCTAAGCAGGCTGGGAATGGTGAGTAAAATAGCTAAGTGGATGGAACCAGCAGTTAGTGTAATGGCTATGTCGCTGGACTCCCATGTAGTCGACCACGGTTCGAGCCTCGGACCCAGTGGCTTAAACTCACACCGGGCACATGTGCGTGTGTGCCCATGATCCCGAGAGGAGAATGGAAGAGAAGGGATTGTGGCATGGCTATCTCCCCTGGGGGGTGATTTCTCGCTTTCTATCTCTCTGTCTCTGGCGAGCGCACACGCCCTGTAGCAAAAACCTCTCAAAAAAAAAAAAAAAAAGCCAAGTGGATGTCTGGAGCAGGGGTATGATAACATGGAGAAACTGTCAAAATTATCTCTCTTCTTGTTTCCATCTCTGTCTCCCCACTCCATTCTCATACTCCCATTCTTTCTCATTAAAAAAAAAAAAAAGCAATGGTGTAATGGTTATGTCACTGAACTCCCACATAGTCAACCGTGGTTCAAGTCCTGGACCCAGTGACTTAAAACTCATGCCAGGCACATGTGCGTGCATGCTCAAGATCTTGAGAGGAAAAATGGAGGAGATTGCAGCATGGCCATCCTCCTGGGGGATGATTTCTTGCTTTCTGTCTCTCTCTCTCCCAAGTAAGCACACTCACCCTATGGCAAAAATCTCTCTCTTAAAAAAAAAAAAAAGTAAGCAGGACTAGCAAATGGCATAATGGTTACATTGTTGGCCTCCCACATTACCAACTGCAGTTTGAGTCCTGGATCTGATGGCTTAAAACTCATGCTGGGTGCATGTGTGTATGTGCCCAAAATTCTGAGAGGAGAATAGAGGAGAAGGGACTCAGCATGGCCTTTCCCCATGGAGAGTGATTTCTTGTTACATGTTTCTCTGTCTGTCTCTTTGGAAAGTACACACACCCAATAGCAAAAATCTCTCTTAAAAAAAAAGTAAAGAAAATATATGGGGGGGGGGGAACCCAGGGGTAGGGGAA